TCTTTTAGGGTGGCCCTCCATGGCATGGCTCATAGCTTCATGGAGTTACACAAGGCTGTGATCCATATGTTCATTTTGGTTAGCTTTCTGTGATTGTGGTTTTCATTCTGGAGGCTGCAGGATTGTAGTTCTTGCTTCTTCTCTCTGTCCTCTGATGTATGAGATGAGGATAAGAGGCTTTTGCCACCTTCAAAACTTCTCTGTTGCATGTTCCAGGACAGTGGAATATAATGACCAAGAGACCCATGGACCAGTTCACAAAGCTGCAATGTTGCCTGGCTCCCAAAGAGGCATTTCCAAGTGTTGGCTGCATTTTTATTCAGTCAAACAACATGAGGAAGGGAGGGTAAGAGATGTGGGGAGAAAAATGAAGTAATTGATCTAGATGGTGAAACAGATGAAGAGGATCAACATTTATTCACAGTTCAGCCATAATGCCCTACAGTCTGCTTGTAATATTACCCTTGCTTCTCTTTACACATCCTACAAAGGTTTGCACTGGCCCACATCAGTGGGAAGTGATTTCTACTTCCTCTGATTTTCTGAATATTAAGATCACACAGGTTATAACTTAACTATCATTTGCTGCTCCAAAAGTTCAGTGAGGAAGTCTTAGATGTGAAGAACTCTGGGCTAGGGTCCTTGCCCCTCTGACGCCCCCTACAATCTCTTTGCACCCATCCTGAGTCTCTCCTCCCCTCTACAACATTGCCTGTTCAAAGGTTAAGCACATAGTTGACTCTCAATAAATGTTGACTGTCTAAAAGTTAGTCTTACTATTTCCCATCCTGCTCTCCTTTTTACCCAAACACTCTCCCGAACCAACTCCAACATTTAACCTCCATAGGTTCATCTCTGCATAAGGGAAAGAGGTTGAGTGGCTCATTCCTATCTTTGCAGATTAATTTACATTTGCAGGCTTCTGTCACAGGAATAGCATGGGCTCAGACAGAGCAGCTGCTTCTCCACCAGAGCCTTAAGACTGGCCAACCAGTCTGTATTACTTTGATGCATAAGATTCAGCGGGGGGGGGGGGATTAAAAGACAGTAGTAGGAAAAACATTTTCCTATGATTCTAAGCTGAGATACATCATGACCCCAGGGTATAAAATTCATTCTTGACTCAGCCAAGAGGAAGTTGGCACACCAAATTCTAGTTATAGGCAAAAGAAGATTAGTGCAGAAAACTCTGTCCCATTCATTACCAAGGGTCAAGCCAAAGGTTCAGCAAAATGCCCCACTTCCTCTTATATTCATATTAGATTAGTGATCTCTCTCACATCCCAAGCCTAGGAATGTAAACAGCCTCAGAGTTCTGGGGAGGGAGATATAGTGAGAAGTGAGGAGATGATCTCAACCCAGGGAAAATCAGTCTATGTTTCACATATGTAACCCAGTGTTTCTCTCTGGGGAACAGTGAATGGCCCAGTCAACTCTGTCTGGAACTAAGGGACAGGTGATCACAGGGAAGCTTGAAGTGAGAATGACATGCAAAGAGAGTAAGTTTATATTCTGGATGATAGCTCCCATACACCCCTAGGGTAGCAAGAGTCTTGTGAATTTGCCTATATATAAGGATTTTTAAGCTTTTATATAACTAAATACAGAGGACTTCTGGAGCTACTGCAGCTTCTCAGTCTACAGCTAAAACTCTCTGGCTTATATGTCAACTTATAACAACCTAAAGGCAACTCTAATGCCAGTACCAAGCAAAAAACTTTACTCTGTGGAAGGCTTACTACCCAGGCATTTTACATATCCTGCTCTTACCTCACCCTATTGACTAAGTATCCGCTATCCTTAGGGGACTAGAATTCTATAACTAGGAATGACAGACCTATGAGGGCCCTTAGAAATAATTTGGTTCCATTCCTCATGGTGCAGTAGTGAAACTAAAACCCAGAGGGATCAGGAACTTGTCCATGGAGACATAGCAAGAGAGTGGAATAGCTAGTACTAGAACTCTTGACTCTTAACCCAGTGCCCTCTTCATACTACCACACTGCTTCTTTCATGATAGAATTAATAACAGCTAACATTTATTGCGGGCTTACTCTGTGTAAGGCCCTGTTCCAAGTGCTTTACTGCATAAATTCATTTAATTCTCATAATAAGCTGATGAGGTAGTTACTATTATCCTGATTTAGAGATGAATACCCTGACGACAGAGAAAAATCCGCTCTATTTATTACCTATCTGTGGAGTCAGATTTGAACTGTGGTGTTGGAGAAGAGAGAGTCCCTTGGACAGCAAGGATCAAACCCGTCAATTATAAAGGAAATCAGTCCTGAATACTCATGGAAGGATTGATGCTGAAGCTGAAGCTCTAGTACTTTGGCCACCTGATGTGAAGAACTGACTCATTGGAAAAGACCCTGATGCTGGAAAAGGTTGAAGACAGGAGGAGAAGGGGACAACAGAAGATGGTATGGCAGATGGCATCACCGACTTGATGGACATGAGTTTGAGCAAGGTCTGGAAATTGGTGATGGACAGGGAAGCCTGGCATGCTGCAGTCCATGGGGTCACAAAAAGTCGGACATGGCTGAGTGACTGAACGGAACTGAACTATGAAGTGAGAATGGGGGCCAGAAGCCAGAAAGATCCACCAATGATAGCCAAACACTGCTATCAGAGAGGAAGAACTATTCTCTGAGAGAATGGAAAAGATGGCTGTAAATCAATCAAGTACACCTTAGTATGAATTAATCACAGGACATTTCTTAAAATCTAGCTGAGATCAAATGGCATGGAAGAAACTGGGCTTTAACTGAGGGGAGGAACAGAAGGGAATGGAAGAGAGAAAAGACAAGGAACTGTGGAGCTATGGCACTTGGGGGCTAAGGGCAAAGGGATGAAGCAAATGAAGTGGGCAATTTGAATACCCTGAAGCTGGGCACTATGCCCCACACTCACCCATCTTCACCCCTTATTTCCTGCAATCAGACTCTCAGGACTCATGCGGTCTACTGTTTTCCATACCAGAAAAAAATAAAACACACACACACACACACACACACACACACACACACACACAAAGAAAAGGAGGCCCAGTAATCAAAGTTGAGGATGGGAAGAGCAGAGACCCCAGACACAGGGCCTAGTGCTTTCCCAACAGACCTGTTTCTACTTTTGCAGATGGAGAAGGCCACAAGGCACTTGTCCTCCAACCTTGGTGAACAATATGAGTACAGCCCATTTCCTGCTCAGGATTCTGTCAGAAGTCAAGATAGATAAGCAGGGAACCTCTGCCCACCAGCCCCTGTTCTGCTCCAGAAACCCATTCCTACTGTCCTGATTATCAGCTCTTCTCTGAAACCCTAGCTGACTCTTATTTCACCTGACCTTCCTCCCAAGTCTTATCCCCTGGCTCTTTCTCATATTGCTCCACAGGAATAAAAATGGTAAGACTAAGAAAAAAGCAAATGTGCTTTCATCACTGGTTTGGGACTAGGAAAAAAGTAGTAGAAGCTGATGACTAAAATCAGGCTTCAAGATTATCTGACTTCAACAATGTTCACGACCCAGTTTCTTTAGCCTACATTCTCTTGTCCGCTAACCCTACCCCCAGCTCCCAACAACCCCCCATCACCAGGGACAGGAAGAACAGAGTACTGACTATATAAACTCTCCCAGTTCTAGCTTCAAGGTCCTTAGCCCGAGGTCCAAACTTCCTACCCATTCTTCATCTTCCAACATCCCAATTCTCTTGACCTCCTGAACCCCAGTCTAGCTTGCAGAAAGGTAGTTATGAAAGCATCAAGATATCAACAAGCAGGTTGGGGGGATGGGTAAGCAAGGCAAAAATGAACAAATGGCTTGTTTAAGGGGGTTTACTTCTGGGAGACCAAAAATAGTCTGGGGTAATGGTATTCTGATCACTGCTTCTGATGAGCTGTTATGAATAATTTCCCTCTCATTCAGATAGTATCTGTGAAGGCACGGGGATAAAGAGCACTTCAAAACTTCATAATTTTACTTTGTGAGTGCCTCTGTCACTCACTGATTTTCATCCCACCTTCCCACCCCCATCTCTCTTTTTCTCCTTTTCTTCCCCTTTTGTTTCTCTCCTCAGTCTTTAACTGGTCAATATTTGGATTGAAATATACTTGGGAGGAATTTCAAACTGTTGAATACAGTTTTTCCCTCCTTGTTATTTTTTAAATCAGGAAAATGCCATTCTGAAACAGAACAAACTGTGGTGTTTTGTTTGCAAATGGTCATTAATGAGGTTTTCTGGAGCTCAGTTACATTTTATTTGAGGGTGGTCCTCAATTAGGTTTATTAGGATTCAGTTACCTAATAAATGGATGGAAAAAATAGGAGAGATAGGCTAGTTTAGAATGATGCCTTGGGAGCTACACTGAGAGCTTGGCTTTAAGTGTTAGGCAAGGGCCAGTCCCATCTGCTTGTGTGTCCAAAAGCCAGGAGTGACTTCAGATAGCAACTGTAAGCTAATTGAAGCTAGCTGTGAGCTTTGAGAATCAAACTAGGGGAATGGGTAGTGAACCTTCATAGACTACTTATTTCATTAATGCTGCTCTTCCCACTCATAACCCAAAAGGTCATGATCGAGGGGGCTTCCACAAAGCACTTGGGAACTCAGGCTGTACCTTCCTTCCTTCTTCAATTGGTCATTGCCCCCACAGCCCTCAACTATGGCATTAACAATGGCCTTGGTATCTGAGAACAAGCTCCGAAAATAGCCAGTCCTAGGAGACAGGCCACAGACTCTGGCAGAAAACTGGAGACAGTAAAGACCCTGGGAAAGAAGTGTGAGAGAGGTTCAGATAGGAATATCTTGAATATATCTATCTGAATAGATTCATTACCTCCACATTTTGCAGTGATGGCAGAGCCACTAGACAGACAGAATCAAGAACATCAGAACTCACAGAATTTTGGAGATTATTTAGCTTAGTCTAGACCATCTCTTGTGTACCAACCCAGAAGATAATCTAAGAGCCCAAGGAGTTCCACTGGGAGCATACTGGGCCTCCATGGAATACATCTCTGCTGAAAGTCACAAATCTAATCTAATCAAGTTGTATAGATGGCAAACCAAAGCCAAGAAAGAGCAAGGTACTTGTCAAAAGTAATGCCTCGAACTCAGGTCTCCTGACTCAACACCACAAGAATCAGAAATACTTCAAATGTATGTAGTATTTTAATTCTTTTTAAACTGTATATTTCCACATATCATGTAATCTGCTCTTTCCTGTGGCAAAATAGGTATTATTTTCCCATCATTTGACCAATGAGAACCTGAAGCTCAGAGTGTGTTAGCAGTCTGTCCAAGATGATATAACAAAGCAGCTTTAGCCACATTACATTCAGATTGACTTTGGCATATCAGCAGTGTCCAAAGTGTTAACAGCTCAGAAATAGTACTGTGGTTCCCACCCATAACCTGCATCACTAAGCTGTACTTCTTAAATCATCCATCTGAGAGAAAGTACATCAATCAGCACTGAAAACATTCCAAGTTGTTCTATCCTTCCATATGCCTCTATTGCACTCCACCCAAAAATCTTCAGATACATCAAAAATGCCAAGGCAGATATGCAAATTCCTTTCTTTAGGTGTATGGGTCTGCACTTATTTTCAAGCTAAATTCATCCATTTCTTAATTTTTTCAGCAACTAATGTTTAAGGCCCTTAAAGAAAAAGAAAACAGAAAAATGCAATACTTTTTTATGCATGTAACTAAATAAATAGGAAAATAGCTAGTTCAAGTGTGGAGCATGGGGAAGAGGAGGGGGAGAGTGAGAGAGGCTGAAACTTCAGAGCAGAGTGTACATTTCCTCTGAAGTACATGCATTTTGAAGGAATGAACTTTGGGATGACTATGTGGAAGAGGCCTTAAAGGATAAACAAAATTTAGTCATGTGGAGATTGGAGGAGTAAAGAATATTTCAGATGGAAAGCCTGAGGGAAAATAAAAGAGGATAAAATTTTTGGTGTGCATATGAAGAAAAGCAAGTTGCTAGATTTGGCTGAATTCAGGAGTTTTAAACTAGAGTAGAAGAGATAGCAATAGAGAGGTAGTTTATTGTCAGACAGAGTTAGACTTAAGGCTAAAGAGCTTGGACTATATTCTGCATTGTGGGACTGTGACATCATCAGATTTGTTTTAAGCAGGAGAGTGATACCATCAGATTTGTTTTTAAACGAATTGTCCAGGAGCGAAATTATGACAGTTTGAGGATGAAAATAGTGAGATGGGTTGAAAGGAAAGAATTTTCAATCAGCCAAATAATGTTTTTGGAAAAACTCTGAGTTCTGCAAGATCATCACTGCATAAGACATATTACAAAATAAAGAGCTTTCACAGATCCACGAGCAAAGTATGAACAAGCTACCACAGACAAATGAGCACTAATATGAAAAGAAAATTTATAGAAAAGAAATATAAATGGCTAATAAGTGTATTTTTATGTGCTTAACCTCTGCAGTGGTAAGAAATATGTAAATGGCTCAAAATACCATATTTCATTTCTACAATGTACAGATTTTGAAAGATGACTTAATGAATGTATAGAAAGAGGGATATGTGATAAAGCAAATATAGTTAAATGTTAATGGTAGATTCTAGGTAGTGGATATATGGGTGTTCACTATATAATCCTTTCAACTTATCTGTATGTTTGAAAATATCTATAATTAAATATTGGAGGGGAGGGGCAGAATTTTAAAGCATAGCTCTTTTGGCACAACAATTCCATTTCTAGGAATCTACCTTACAGAAATAGATGTTCACATGTACATAATAAATAACCAAAGAAGTATCCTGGAAGGCAGCTATGCTCACCACTATACCACCAACATGCAAAGAAATATCCTGAAGCCTTATGTGTCATAGGAAAGAATTAGAAATCATTTAGCTGTCCATCAGAAGAAATATTTAAATACACTATGGTATACCCATACTATGAAATATGTAGCTGTTTTTTTAAAATGAGGTAGATCCATATACTGAAATGAGATGTTCAAAATATCCTGTGAAGTCAAAAATGCAAATTACTGACTCAGCTATAAAGTGTGATCCATTTAAATTTAAAAGTAAAACTATTAAGTTAATATGGATGTATTTAGTTTTGGGCACATATAGAAAAAAGGATTAGAAGAATACACAGAAAACTGAAAACTATATTTATCTCTGGGAGGAAAATATGGATGTAAGGAGATTTTCCTTTTTATTCTGTGTACTTTTATATAGTTTGAATTATCTGCAATATGACTGCTTATTTGGGCTTCCCAGATGGCGTGCTTGCTAAGTCACTTCAGTTGTATCCAACTCTGTGAGTCCCTGTGGATGGTAGCCTGCCAGGCTCCTCTGTCCATGGGATTCTCTAGGCACGGATACTGGAGTGGATTTCCACGCTCTGCTCCAGGGGCTCTTCCCAACCCAGGGATTGAACCTGCATCTCTTATATCTTCTTCATTGGCAGAAGGGTTCTTTACCACTAGTGCAACCAATAAGACAGTGACACTAGTGGTAAAATAATTTGCCTGTCAATGCAGGAGATGCAGGAGAGGCAGGTTCTATCCTTGGGTTGGGAAGACCTCCTGGAAAAGGAAATGGCACCCCACTCCATTATTCTTGCCTGGGAAAATTCCATGGGCAGAAGAGCCTGGGTGGGTAGGGCAGACTACAGTCCATGGGACCACAAATAGTAGGGCACAATTGAGTGATTGAGCACATAGCCCTTTTAACTGTATGTTACTTATTTCCCTCCCCCATATTTTATTTATCTGTATGCCATTCATTCATCTATTGATTTAGTATAAATTTATTAATTATTCATTTATTTACTTAATAATCCATCTATTCATTTTTTGATTGAAGTCTTTTTGTAAAGTTTTTTTTTTTAATTTTTACAATGTTGTGTTGGTTTTTGCCATAAGACAATGCAAATCAGCCATAATTATACACACACCCCTTCCCTCCCTAGCCTCCCTCCCCTCCCCCCATCCCAGCCATTGCTGTGTAGCATAGAGCCCAGTTTGGCACTGTATTTTCTTATCTTTTGATGCATTTCTAAGTAAGCTGCAGAATTACTCTTATGTTTTAAAATTCAATAAAAGATAAGAGATATTATCAACATTGACTGTAAAGACTTAGCAGTTAAGTCAACTGGGACAAGGTTGTGTATGTTGGATTCTAGGAAAGAGAAGATGATGATGGCTCTGAGGTTCACTATGTAAACACAAGGCAAAGAGCCCAAAATTTCCCCTCTGTAAGAAGAAATAGAGAAAAAAGGCCCAATGTGCCAGGTGCTAAGGGCAGAGCAATGGTCACTGGAAATCTGAAAAAGAATTGTTGATAAAGGATGGAAAAGGAAGTGGATTTGAGAAAGGAAATATCCTAAGAATTCAGCTCAATGACACTCTTTCTGACCTTCCTCTAACAAGGACAAGGAGTCCCAGTCTGCAATACACAGATTTTTTTGTAAGCGTTCAGTTCACAATGAATCCGTTTTATAACTTCAAATCTGGACAAAGTCTCTCTGGATTCACCCATGGGGGATACAAATCATATATCTTTCCTAGGTCTTTAGAGCTAGAAAGGACCTAAAGAATCACTGAGGCTAACCTCCCCCACTTCCATAACTAACAGTGGAAAAAGTGAGGCTCAGAGAGGGAAAGAGACTTGATTAAACTAAAGTCTCCTGACTCCCAGGCAAAAGTTCTTTCCACCTCTGTAGCAGAATTGGCTAGTCTTCTTCATTATCACCAGACCACATCAGAATCCTGGATTCACTCTTGATTACACTGGTGGTTTCCAAAATCTTTTTTTTCTGGACAGGATACACCATTAAGTCAAGCCACATGATCTGGAAGACTCTGTCTTCCCTTGCCCTTCTCTAAGTCTCTACTGTGCCCTATGTCCTTCAGCCTCAGTCAGACAGTGAGGATTACACTCAGTCCACCAGTGTCATCCTCCATCCCTCAGAAGCCAACAAGGCTGACCATCCTCACTCCTAGAAAAGGGCCAGACCATGTGCAGTTCATTGGCAGCCATCTCAAGGATGGGTCACTTCAGCCCTATGGTGTTTCTTCTCCACTGGCATTAGCAGGTACTGACTACCATTAGACAGGGAAGCACTGACATTTCTTGAACTTCTGAGTAGAATGAAGATTGGACAAGGCATGGTTTTTCACAGGAGACTACACAATGTCACAGGTATTTGTTCACTGGCACTTTCCAGCTCAAAAACCAAGCATGGCTGCAAGCTGCTAAATTTGCCTTTCCAGGAGCAGGTCCAAACTGTTTGAGTCTAGTGTTCAAAGGCTCCATTTTCAACCCCAATTTCTATTTCCCTTTTTTGGATCAGCAGTCACACTAGCCATTAGCTGCCAGTTCCTTCAAGCTAGGCTTCAACAGTATGTGAACTGAGAACTTTCAGATGTACAAGCTGGATTTAGAAAAGGCAGAGGAACCAGAGATCAATGCCAATATCTGCTGGATCATAGAAAAAGCCAGAGAATTCCAGAAAAACATCTACTTCTGTTTCCTTGACTATGCTAAAGCCTTTGACTGTGCAGATCACAACAAACTGTGGAAAATTCTTAAAGACATAGGGATACCAGACCACCTTACCTGCCTCCTGCGAAACCTGTATGCAGGTCAAGAACAAGAAGCAACAGTTAAAACTAAACATAGAACAACAGACTGGTTCAAAATTGGGAAAGGAGTATGTCAAGGCTGTATCTTGTCACCCTGCTTGTTTAACTTATATGCAGAATACATCATGTGAAATGCTGGGCTGGATAAATCACAAGATGGAATTGAGATTGCTGGGAGAAATATCAATAACCTCAAATATGGAGATGATACCACCCTTATGGCAGAAAGTGAAGAGGAACTAAAGAGCCTCTTGATGAAAGTGAAAGAGGAGAGTGAAAAGTGACTTAAGACTCAACATTCAAAAAAATAAGATCATGGCATTTGATCCCATTATGTCATGGCAAATAGATAGGGAAACAATGGAAACAGTGACAGACTATTTTCTTGGACTCCAAAATCATTGCATATTATGACTGCAGCCATGAAATTAAAAGATGCTTGCTCCTTGGAAGTAAAGCAATGACAAACAGACAGCATATTAAAAAGCAGAGACATTACTTTGCCGACAAAGGTCCGTATAGTCAAAGCTATGGTTTTTCCAGTAGTCACGTACAGATGTGAGAGCTGGATGATAAAAAAGGCTGAGCACCGAAGAACTGATGCCTTCAAACTCTAGTGCTGGAGAAGACTCTTGATACTCCCTTGGACAGCAAGGAGATCAAACCAGTCAATCCTAAAGGAAATCAGCTCTGAATATTCAGTGGAAGGTCTGATGCTGAAGCTGAAGCTCCAATAGTTTGGCCACCTGATGTGAAGAGCTGACTCATTGGAAAAGACCCTGATGCTGGGAAGTATTGAAGGCAGGTGGAGAAGGGATGACAGAGGATGAGATGGTTGGATAGCATCACTGACTCGATGGACATGAGTTTGAGCAAGCTCTGGGAGATTGTGAAGGACAGGGAAGCCTGGCATGCTGCAGTCCATGGGGTTGCAAAGAGTAGCACACAACTGAGCAACTGAACAACCACAACATATCCATGAAAGCACACATGTTTTTCATGTGCCCAGGAATTTTGTCCCAGTCTCTGCTGTCTTCCTCTGTTAGTGTAAACCCTACCCAGAGCACTTCAAGGCCTACCACAAATGCCTCTTGAGAATCCACCCAAACCAGAAATTCTCATGTAATATCAGAAAGTCTTAAAGTTTCAGGTCTCAGAAGGTTGGCTGACCTGCCTTAAGTGACCAGCCAAGATTAGAATCTAAGGCTCCCAAATTTCTAACCTAGTGTATTTTTATGGCTCCACATGATTTCTGCCTTTTCTGTACACCCCCCTCAAGGCAACATTCTGTCTTATAATATGGTCTGTGATCCTTGTACCTGCCTTTCCCACAAATGACTTGAAGTTTTCTAAGGGAAAGAGCCTATTTCATCCATTACTCTCTGCCCTCATCTCCAGTTGCTCAGTACAATGCACCACACCAGCAGATGTTCTGCATTTTTGCATAACATGACAGAGCAGCTGTCTTTTCGGTGACTAGAAAGCAATGCTGTTGTCATAGGACAATTCAAGCAACATCAAAGGAGGCCCTGAGTTTTTACTCTTCAGAGACCTTGGCTGTTGGAAAACACTACAGCTATTGAAAGTGTAACTGTTGGATGGACATTAGAGTCACACCTCAGTCAGTGAAAGAAGGGATAGGCATTTTAGTTCCTTTAGGGGTCCATCTTCAAGATGTTGTGGAGATCCACTTCTACAACTCCTGTAAATTCAAGAGTGCAAAAAACTAAAGTCCATTTTTTTTTTCACAATTTTATTTTTACTGGTCAAAGGGATTTTTTTCAGGCAATCTAGTGAAGTCCAATTCTCTGACTTTACAGAAGAGGGACTTGAAGTCCAGAGAGATGATGGGATTTCTCTAAAGTCATGACATGAATGAACGATAGACTCTTTCAATTTCTTGTACAAGCCTTTTTCAGCCCCAGCAAATGAATAGATGGTTGTCACAAACCTCGTCTTAAGAACAGAAAGAGCTTCAGCCTAGATGAGCAAAGACTCCACTATTTCCTGATATTCCATTTTATCATTGGACATATCCAAACCTTGCTAAGTGTTAAATGGGATAATTTATGTAAAGCACTTAGCAAATTGCCTGATACACAATAAAAATTCTCCTCCCTCTTGTTAGAATGAGGTTCCTTTATAGTAAGCTTAATTCTGCCTCCTGGTGGTTTTCACTCTGTTGAAATCTGACCCATCCTGGGTTCTCCTTTCTAGAGACACTTAAGACAAATAATCCTTTTCCACATGACAGCTTTGAAGGCATTTGAAGACAGCACCCCTGCTCTACTTCCCTTCCTTCAAAATGGTTCACTGCAAGACTATCCTTCACCCACTCAGATTTTATCTTCCTGCAAATAGGGGGACTAAGCTTGGCCTCATTTTCCACAAAATCATGATATTTATAACGAGAGGTTGTCTTCCGATCTCTGCCTGGAGAGCTGGGCCAACAGAAGTGCACTTACCTTGTGGCCTCAAGCCCCTTACACCACAAGCAAAGGCTGAACTGGGCACAACACTCCAAGGTGGCCAAGTGTTGAAGTGTTCGGTCCTCAGGGGAGTCAGTAGCTTCACACTGCCACTGGTAGCTTCCCCAACACTGTCTTTGGCTCCTTACCTCCCCCATCTCCCTTCCTCATTTCCCCATCCCATTCCCACGGTAGAACTCAGCTACCCTACATCCCTAAATCTGCAAGCTCAATTGTTGAACCATGCAAACTGTTAAGCTTTGAGTCGCGCCAGGCAGGTGCTCCTGCTCAACTACCTATCCTGGCTTGCCCGAGTGGTCCCTACAGGCTCCCCAGGTAGCCCTAGTCTAGGCCATTTTCCCCAAGCTGGTGGCAAAAGTGGGCCTTTGCCTTGGCCGGCACAAGGCACTAGTTCCGCAGAGAGCCTACCGTGGGAGTTACCTTGCAAGCATTGAGTGGTAGAAGCGCTCAGTTGGGCGACTGGACCTAGGGGTGGGTGGGTCCTCACCTAGGATGCGCTCCTTCCGCCACGGTCAGGCCCGGAGTAGAGCGGCAGGCTGGATGGAGGGTCCCCGTCCCTCGTAGCCAGGAGTTGGATTGACCCACTGATGAGCGGCAGGGCTAGGGGACCGGCGGAGGATAGCACAGAGGCAGCTTCGGAAGGGGCGCCGCTGCGGAGGGAGCGCTGCTGGTCGCCGCCTAGGCAGCCCAAAAGAGAACCAGCCACCGGTTGCAGTGACCGCCCCTGGCCCCCAGCTGCGCCTTGCCTGTAGGCTGCAGTCGCTCTCAGCAGGTTACCGGCACGCCCGAGAGCTCTGGTGGAGGTGCATTCGGAGCCAGCTAGGGGTCAAGGAGGTTTGCATTCAACTGAGCCTCTCCTGGCGCTGCTGCTCGCCAGCTACTGGGCGTCAGGGCGGCGGGTTCCTCGGGTCACAATTGGCGGAAGATGGAGCCTTAGAGGCTAGTAAAGTGAGTGGGAGTGGTAGGGAGGGGCCCCAACCCTGAAGTTCAGATCAAAACTCTGCTGCCTGCACGGAGAAGGCTGGCTGAAGGCCAACACACACTCCCTCCCAGGGGCGGACTTGGGCGGCCTAAATACTCCAGTGGGTGGAGGCGGAGGTACCCAAGCTAGGGTGAGCGGCAGAGCGTCAAATTCGCTGCTTGCTAATGCCACCCACCTCCCCGCCCTGCCGTGTGCTTGGGTCGTGAAGACTGGCTTGGTCCACCAATACCTGATGTAACACAAACATTTCATTAGCCAAATGGCTGACCTCTCTGGAGCCAAAGGCTGGGAGGGCAGAGTAAGGAGGGATCCTCCCCGTCCCAGGCCTCTCTGAGAGGCAGCCGGAGAGCCCTACAGAGCACCACACCCCGGCCTGTAGTCCCCATCTCATGCCCCCGGGAGGCCCGGCGATTTGTGAGGGAAGGGGAGGGTGGGGTGGAATGGCGCGACGGACTGTCGACAACCTTTTCCTGGATCCATTCAATCTGCTACTCCAAGTTTCCTGGCAATTACAACATCCCCAGGAGGGCAGATTCCCCGCCTGTTAATCACGGTGTGCATTTTTAAACCACCTCCCCCCATCTTTTTGAAAATTTAACTGGCCTGCTTCCAGTCTACAAGCTTGGGATGGTTGGGAAAAGACACAGCTCCACAGCTCAAGTGCGGTGGGCAAGACGACTTGAAAGTTTCTTTCCTTCAGCTCTCACCAGATGTGTACTAGAACACGAAGGAGCATTGCCTCTTAGATATCCCACTTCCTGGCTGAGGAAACCTACATTTGAGCCCTTGCTAGGTGGAAGGAACTGACTTCAGAATTTTTCCGGAGGGCTTGGTGAACACACCTCTGTTTTTAAATAGAGAAGTTAAGCTAATCAACCTATAAATTATACTAATGAATCTGTATAACATGCTGTGGATGGGGGGAGGGGGGTGGACTCACATGAATCACTTCAGCACTCTAAAAACATCAGTGTTCAATGGAGGGAATTGTGTGAGGCAGCACTCCTCTGGAAAAGATTTTCTTGAAATTATGCCGGTAGGTTGAAAAGCAACCATCCTTGACAAATGCGTGTACCGAACAAGTTTATCCTGTAACAATGCCACGGAGATGTGAAATGGGACCTGACTTTCAGGATAGACAGTCAACTCCATACAAAAGCCAGATCTGGGGCTTCTCTTACTTTACACTCCTCCTACCTCTCACTTTCTCCTTTTGCTCCTAGTCTTCCTTCCAGGGTGTGTAGTATCTGATAGGAGTCTGAGAAGACTTTACCACCTCCAAACGGAGAGGAAACCCATGAGCTAAGCATTCACATCTTTAGACCTTCAATGGTGGTGGTTTAGTCACTGAGTTGTGTCTGACTCTTGCAACCCCATGGACTGTAGACCGTCAGGCTCAAAAGAGTCCATGGGGATTCTCCAGGCAAGAATACTGGAGTGGATTGTCATTTCCTTCTCCAGGAGATCTTCCCAACCCAGGAATTGAACCTGGGTCTGCATTGCAGGCAAATTCTTTACTGACTGATCTATGAGGGAAGCCCTTCAGTTCAGTTCAGTCGCTCAGTCCTGTCCAACTCTTTGAGACCCCAGGACTCCCTGTCCATCACAAACTCCTGGAGTTTACTCAAACTCATGTCCATCGAGTCGGTGATGCCATGCAGTCATGTCATCCTCTGTCGTCCCCTTCTCCTCCTGCCCCCAACCCCTCCCAGCATCAGAGCCTTTTCCAATGAGTCAACACTTCACATGAGGTGGCCAAAGTATTGGAGTTTCAGCTTCAGCATCAGTCCTGCCAATGAATACCCAAGACTGATCTCCTTTAGGATGGACTTGTTGGATCTCCTTGCAGTCCAAGGGACTCTCAAGAGTCTTCTCCAACACCACAGTTGAAAAGTATGAATTTTTTGGTGCTCAGCTTTCTTCACAGTCTAACTCTCACATCCATACATGACCACTGGAAAAACCATAGCCTTGACTAGATGGACCTTTGTTGGCAAAGTATTGTCTCTGCTTTTAATATGCTATCTAGGTTGGTCATAACTTTCCTTCCAAGGAGTAAACATCTTTAATTTCATGGCTGCAATCACCATCTGCAGTGATTTTGGAGCCCCCCCAAAATAAAGACTGACACTACTTCCAATGTTTCCTCATCTATTTGCCATGAAGTGATGGGACTGCATGCCATGATCTCAGTTTTCTCAGTGTTGAGCTTTAAGCCAGCTTTTTCACTCTCCTCTTTCACTTTCATCAAGAGACTTTTTAGTTCCTCTTCACTTTCTGCCATAAGGGTGGTATCATCTGCATATTTGAGGTTATTGATATTTCTCCCAACAATCTTGATTCCAACTTGTGCTTCTTCCAGCCCAGTGTTTCTCATGATGTACTCTGCATATAAGTTAAAAAAAACAAGGTGACAATATATGGTCTTGACATACTCCTTTTCCTATTTGGAACCAGTCTATTGTTCCATGTTCAGTTCTAACTGTTGCTTCCTGACCTGCATACAGGTTTCTCAAGAGGTGGATCAGGTGGTTTGGTATTCCCATCTCTTTCAGAATTTTCCACAGTTTATTGTGATCCACACAGTCAAAGGCTTTGGCATAGTCAATGAAGCAGAAATAGATGTTTTTCTGGAACTCTCTTGCTTTTTTGATGATCCAGCGGATGTTGGCAGTTTGAGCTCTGGTTCCTCTGTCTTTTCTAAAACTAGCTTGAACATCTGGAAGTTCACAGTTCACGTATTGCTGAAGCCTGGCTTAGAGATTTTTGAGCATTACTTTACTAGCATGTGAGATGAGTGCAATTGTGTGGTAGTTTGAGCTTTCTTTGACATTGCCTTTCTTAGTGATTGGAATGAAAACTGACCTTTTCCAGTCCTGTGGCCACTGCTGAGTTTTCCAAATTTGCTGGTATACTGAGTGCAGCACTTTCACAGCATCATCTTTCAGGATTTGAAATAGCTCAATTGGAATTCCATCATTTCCACTAGCTTTGTTCATAGTGATGCTTTCTAAGGCCCACCTGACTTCACATTCCAGGATGTCTGGCTCTAGGTGAGTGATCACACCATCGTGATTATCTGGGTCATGAAGGTCTTTTTTGTACAGTTCTTCTGTGTATTCTTGCCACCTCTTCTTAATATCTTATGCTTCTGTTAGGTCCATATAATTTCTGTCCTTTATAGAACCCATCTTTGCATGAAATGTTCCCTTGATATCTCTAATTTTATTGAAGAGATCTCTAGTCTTTCCCATTCTGTTATTTTCCTCTATTTTTTTGCACTGATTGCTGAGGAAGGCTTTCTTATCTCTCCTTGCTATTCTTTGGAACTCTGCATTCAAATGGGAATATCTTTCCTTTTCTCCTTTGCTTTTCACTTCTCTTATTTTCACAGGTATTTTCAAGGTCTCCTCAGACAACCATTTTGCCTTTTTGCACTTCTTTTCCATGGGGATGGTCTTGATCCCTGTCTCCTGTACAATGTCACGAACCTCCGCCCATAGTTGATCAGTCACTCTGTCTATCAGATCTAGTCCCTTAAATCTATTTCTCACTTCCACTGTAAGTGATTTGATTTAGGTCATACCTGAAAAGTCTAGTGGTTTTCCCTACTTTCTTCTATTTAAGTCTGAATTTGGCAATAAGGAGTTCATGATCTGAGCCACAGTCAGCTCCTGGTCTTGTTTTTGCTGACTGTATAGAGCTTCTCCATCTTTGACTGCAAAGAATATAACCAACTGATTTTGGTGTTTCCCTTCTGGTGATGTCCATGTATAGAGTCTTCTCTTCTGTTGTTGGAAGAGGTTATTTGCTATGACCAGTGTGTTCTCTTGGCAAAACTCTATTATCCTTTGCCCTGCTTCATTCCGTACTCCAAGGTCAAATTTGCCTGTTACTCCAGGTGTTTCTTGACCCTACTTTTGCATTCCAGTCTCCTATAATGAAAAGGATGTCTTTTTTGGGTGTTAGTTCTAAAAGATCTTGTAGGTCTTCATAGAACCTTTCAACTTCAGTTTCTTCAGCATCACTGGTTGGAGCATAGGCTTGGATTACTGTGATATTGAATGGCTTGCCTTGGAAATGAACAGAGATCATTCTGTCATTTTTAAGATTGCATCCAAGTACTGCATTTCAGACTCTTGTTGACCATGATGGCTACTCCATTTCTTCTGAGGGATTCCTGCCCACAGTAGTAGATAAAATGGTCATCTGAGTTAAATTCACCCATTCCAGTCCATTTTAGTTCGCTGATTCCTAGAATGTCGACATTCACTCTGGCAATCTCTTCTGCAAGGTCCATCGCAGCCGGCGCGCAAGATAAGGAGCAGCGGCTGCGCTTTGCTGGAGCAGTCATGGAGAGATACCCCATGTCCAAGGTAAGAGAAACCCAAGTAAGATAATAGGTGTTGCAAGAGGTCATCAAAAGGCAGGCACACTGAAACCATAATCACTGAAAATTAGCCAAACTGATCACATGGACCATAGACAGTCTTGTCTAACTCAATGAAGTTAAGCCATGCCATGTGGGGCCACCCAAGACGGATGGGTCATGGTGGAGAAGTCTGACAGAATGTGGTCCACTGGAGAAGGGAATGGCAAACCACTTCAGTATTCTTCCCTTGAGAACCCCACGAATAGTATGAAAAGGCAAAATGATAGGATACTGAAAGAGGAACTCCCCAGGTCGGTAGGTGTCCAATATGCTACTGGAGATCAGTGGGGAAATAACTCCAGAAAGAATGACAGGATGAAAAAACAAACAAATAAATAAATAATAATTTTTTTAAAAATAGGAATGAAGGGATGGAGCCAAAGCAAAAACAATACCCATTTGTGGATGTGACTGGTGATAGAAGCAAGGTCTGATGCTGTAAAGAGCAATATTGCATAGGAACCTGGAATGTTAGGTCCATGAATCAAGGCAAATTTGAAGTGATCAAAGAGGAGGGAAGCCCTTAGGCCTTCA